CTGTGAGTAGAACTTGTTCAAATAATAGAACTGGAATTACCATCTGAATAATTTATTCTTTGATGTAAATATCTCGGTTGTGGTACTGAGGCTTCAATTTATTATGTGTTGTCGTTTTCTATTGTTAGGTATTAGGTGAAACGTATTTTGTTGTTTTATGTAAGTGTTTGATAATTAATTTGGCCTATGATGATTCAATTGAATTGGAATTACCGTCTGAATAGATTTATTTTGATGAAAAATTCTGGCTGTTTATGAAGTTTTGGATTATAATTTTGCTTAATCAGTCTTTTTTTATTTTGTTTTGTTTTTATACTTAAATTCAAGGTTTTAATTAAATCAAATATAATGCTGATGAATATGAAGCTGCTAAAATATAATTGTTTCTCGTATTATTAAAATGAGTTTTGAGTGCTCAATAGAATGCCTTGATAGCTTGCTCAAATAGAATGCCTTGTATTAAAAATGTTACAGATAGATCTTTGAACATGAGATTTGTTCTATATTTGGTGAGCTCCAAGACTCATCTCAGAAGGTTTGAGTGATATTAATTATGGAGGGAGAGAGCTACAGAGAGAGGGTGAAAAGATGAGATTGATAACATAGTATAACAGTAGACGGTGTTATAGTAGTCCCACGTTGTTTTCATTATAAATGTTGATAGTGTTTATATATCTTATACAAACACAACAAATTAATTGTGTTAAAAAGATGGACCAAAGACATGGGACAAAAAGGTTAGGCCCAAAGTGTTTTATTTAAAATTTTGATTAATTAATTAAATATAAAAATTAATAATAAAAAATTAATAATTTATTTATTTATTAATGAAAATAATATTAATAAATTAATTATCCTAATCAATAATTAAAATCTCAAATTAATTTTAAAATGACTTGGCATTGCCATGTCATCTTGGATAACGCCACATCATTAAAAAAATGTCTCAAATTGGAGAAGAGACTAAAATCAAACTCAAAACTTAAAGAAGGGACCAAAATTGTGGTTTTTAAAATGGAGGGATCAAAACTCAAAAAAAGTACAAAATAGAGGGACCATAGTTGCAATTAAGCCTCTTTTTTTAAAGTTGTATTTCAAAAATGTGATTTGTTCATATGGGATGAAGACATTGGAGCAATGGGTGAAATGAAGATGGGAGCATTATGAACACAAATTTGTTCATCACATAATCGTATGGTGATGGTTGTTTTTGCGTCTACAAAAAAAATTATATAGTAAGTAATAATACATACAAAAAACAAAAAAAAAATTATAGATATTGATGAATATCATCACAGTCAATACTACTTTATAAAGATAGCAATTCAACTCATCTCTAGTGGGTATTAGCAAAAACTACTCACAACGGAAAGGGTAACAAACAGACATGCCCCCGTTTAGGCCCTCCCTGCAAAACTCCACAGAAATAGAGAGGGGAGGGACATACATAGTTGAGGGTACGAGTTTAAAATTATGGTCCACCCCACTAAAAATAAGTGTGGAGGTGGGAAGGATCCATGAGCCTTATACATTTTAAGTCTAAAAATATAAAATTTTATAAAAAAGTTTGCTCTCGAAGAAAAAAACGGAGCGAACACATTGAAGAGTTCAGGTCTAAAATCTTGACCCACTATAAAAAAAAAATATGGTAAAGGTACTTGAACATGCACTAAGCACCATGTATCTAATAACTTATCATATGACAAGTTCTTTCATACTCGCAAAGACTAGTGTCTAGGATTTCTAATTTTTGTGTGTCCAAAACTATTCATAAAGTATTAGGTGATTTGAGTTTAATATTAACAGTGTAAGAAGAGATGGATGCAATAAAGAAAAATAATACTTGGAATATTATTGATCTACCTCAAGATAAAAAGGAAGTAGGGTGTAAGTGAGCTTTTATAATGAAATGCAATGTTAGTAGAAGTATGGAAAGGTACAAAGCAAGATTAGTAACAAAATATTTTACTCAAACTCATGGTATATACTACTAAAAGAATTTTGTGTCATTTGCTAAAATTACTTTCATCTGAATTCTTCTATTTCTTGTAGTAAATTTCAATTGGACATTACATCTCTTTGATGTTGAAAATGTCTTTTTGAATGGAAAATTACATGAATAAGTATACGCGAGTTTAGCTCGTGAATTTGAAGAAAATCTTGGAAGAAGCAAAGTCTGTATATTGAGAAAATCATTATATAGATTAAAATAATCACCAAGGGTCTAGTTTTAAAGATATAGAATTGTTGTTAAGAAACATGGTTTCACCTAAAGTCAAGTCAATCACACTCTACGCTTCAAACACTCACATGAAGATAATATTTTTATCTTAATAGTGTATGTTGACGATATTATCATAATTAGAAATGATGTTAACAAGATTACTGATCTAAAGAGAATACTTGAGATTGGATTGGTTATCAAGGGACTTTGAAAGATTAAAATATTTTTTTTAGAATGGAGTTTTCAAGGTCTAAAGAAGGAATCTTTCTCAACCAACCAAAATATGTATTTGATACTGGAAAAAAAAAACAAGGTTAACACAATGTATGGAAATGTAAGTAATGAATCCTAATGTAAAACTAAATGCAACATCTAGAGATGATGTTGTAGATAGAGAATGCTATTGACAATTGGCTAATAGACTAATTTATTGTTCACGTAAAAGGCCTTAAAAAAATATTTGCAATGAGTGTGATAAGTTAATTTATGCATGCATCAAGACCAGTTCATTTTGAAGTTGTTTTCATGATATTTAGATGTTTGAAAGGTATTACATAAAAATGGATGATGTTCAAAAATAGAGGGCATATATGTGTTGAATCGTAAACGGATGCTAAGTGGACACGTAAGATAAATGATAGAAGGTCTACTTAAGAATATTGTGTATCTTTATACGTGAAATTTTAGTTACATGAAAAAGAAAAAGAAAGTAAAAGGTTGTAGCTAGGAGCAAAAGCTAAATTTTGTTGTAGCCCATGGTTTTATGAAGTATTATGGGTTAAACATTTATGAATGAATTGAAGATTTCTAACTCAAAAACAATCAAAATTTATTGTAATAATAAGACATCTATTTCTATTGTTCATAATCATGTTCTACACAATTAGGAATGAGAAACAAATTTGGATCCACTCACATCCGCTCGGACGAAATTAACAAGAAAAATCTGATTTAAATGGGTGCGGGTGCAAGAGAAATCTGATTCTTAACAACGGGTGCGGGACGGATAAACACTAAAATTCACCCACACCCGCTCCCGCCCCAAGATAATGTATTTTACTTTAATTTCTTTATTTTACTTATTTTAATATTTATTTATTAATTATATTTTTAATTAAATCATTAATGCATTTATTTCAATTAAAATAATTAAAGTAATCAAGTTAATATTTATTTATTAATTAAATTTTTAATTAAATAATTAATTAATTTATTAAAATAATCAATTTTTTAATTAAATTATTAATTTTTATTGCAATTAAAAAGAAATTAATTTTTTACGAATGAGGGCGGAGCAAGTGCGGGTGCACCTGTTTTCCACTGAAGACGAGTCTGAGTGGTAAATTTTCACCCTGATTAAATTTCAGGATGAGAACGAATGTGTTATATAAAAACATACCCGCCTCCACTCCGTTGCCATCCCTATACACAATCATGTCCTATAGGAGATAGTTGCCATCCCTATACACAATCATGTCCTATAGGAGATAGAAGCGCTTCAATAAGGAAAAAATTAATAATGGTTAGCTTTGTACGTCCGGTGTACCAAAGTTGTAGATATTCTCACAAAAAAATCTTTTAAAGAGACAATTCGATGACATTGTGAATAAACTTGCAATGAGTAAAAATATATATTTGTATAGAAACAAACATAATACGTGTTTTTACAACAACCAATAATTTTTTTTATTAATTAAAAATAATATTTTCTCTCTACTGCATAATAACCATATTCTATAATTCTAATTAAAAACAAAATTAAATTAAAATTAAATTTAAAATTTTCTCTCTTTTCATTAATTGTTTATAAAAATATAAATATAGGTGTGTTCTTATGCATTAAGGAGTATTTACTAAATAATAATTCAGCATTATATATGTTTATCAAATTATAACAAGAAGTGTTCTTATGACAAGAAGTAAATAATGATTAAGGAGTATTTACTAAATAATAATTCAGCATTATATATGTTTATCAAATTATAAATTCAAATTTATAGGAGGAATAATTACTTTGATATTGAAAATTATTATTCTGATTTTCAAGGTAGAATAGTATTCTATCTTTTACTTCTATAAATTCTTCTCATATATTATATATCCAATAAAAAAAGAATAATGCTATTTAATAAGAAATAATTTAAAGAAAAAAATGCAAGAATGCACACTCACTTTTTTAGAGGTGAATTTTAAAGTGATTTCAAATTTAATTTTCATATGAGATTGTGGTTATAATGAATGGTTGAGATTTATTCTTGCATTTCTTAAAACATTTTCCATTAAAAAAAATACATCTATTATTTGTGGGTTTCTTTCTATAAACGTGTTCAACGAATTTGCATGCACTTCTTTCTTTCTATCAACGCATAAGCTTCTTGTAAGCCTTGCACACAATTGAAATACTCAACTACACCCTCAAACTCATTCAATTGCAGAAGTTTCAAAACTTTTTATTCAATTGCTTCACAACATAAGTGCAAATTCAATCACAAAGAATCCATATGAAAAAAAAAGTAAAGAACAATTTAAAAATTCAAGTGAAACTCCCATGCTTCAAGCTCGTTCATGGATTTGTAATCACATAATCTCTTCATGAAACTCGTTCTTAAGTCTTAAACAAACGAAAATCCAAACTTTCACTTGAATTCCCAATACATTACCTTGGTAGGATCATCAGAACTTACAAAATCAAACACGACACAAACTTCTACACATTCCAACCACAAACCTCACAAACAATTATGCACGAGCTGTTGCATAAGCATTAGGATTAAATTCATGTCTTCTTACTACTCCGCTTTCCCAAGGGGAATGATAATTTTAAGAATCCAAACTTCTTCCTATGTACTACAGACTGCTTTTGATCGCCCTCATCATTCTCAAGTTCAGTTGGAAGAGTTTGATTTTCCCTCAACGCTTGAAGCATTTGACTCAATGCTACCTTTGTTTCCGCATGCTTTTCCATCTCCTTTGTCGTAGTATATTCGTCAGGAACTTGCTTCCTATTAAGTAGATCTCTCATTGAAACCGAGGATCTTAAGGTGGGCTTCAAAGCTTGGCAATTTTCAACTCGATTGAACTTATTTCGCTTAATCGAGCTATGCATATCCCCACCCTTTGGACCGTTTTCATGAATCCATCTCCTTAGAGCCTCTTCAGCAGCCTGTTGCTTTCTGCTTGCAGTTTCAATACCGTTTATAGCTTCTGTTAAAATTTCTTTGCTGTGTATAACTTCTGCGGTTGCTTCCTCTAGTTTTTTCAGAATAGTTAGCTTAGAAGCACTTGCCGCATCAATTTGGAATGTCGAGTGTATTACTTTTTTCAAAATAGACTCTTCAGGTATTTGAAATTCATGATGCTCTCGTGTAGAAAACTGCGATGATATATTGTCAGCACGAGATAGAGCCTTCATTTCAGCAAGAGCAACGGCTTCGGCCGCCATTGCAGCTTCTTCCATCTTTTTAGCAGCAAACCACCTCATCTCAGCAGTTTTAATACTAAACTCATTCTCTCCATCCTCAACCCCTTGCTTATAAACTTCTAAGGGTCTTGTTTCAACCATTCCAATGTTCTGTTCAGCATCAACTTTTAAATCCCTTGTAACATTCTGCGGAGTATGAAAAGTAAAATCCGTTTCTACAGGATCTACCTGAGGCTTTGACCTTACTTCTTTTTCGGCCACATTTTGAGCAGAGATAGCTGCAAACTTCGATTGTAGATTCTCCCGTGTCCTCTCGAGAAAAAGTCTCTCCTTCTTCATCTTCTTATTCAAACTTTCAACAGATGATTGTATCACACCGAGATCGTTTATAGTTTTACCAAGGTTCATCTTAGCTTGTTTTAACTCGGTTAAGAGCATATCAGGCGATGGAGTATGGAACGGCCTTGGACATTGCAACATCTGTTCTTGATGGTTGAGGATACTTGCAGATTCTTTAACAAGAGTTTCAATACTTTCGCACGAACTTACATCTCGAGTCGCAGAAAATTTGATTGCTTCGGATTGTAGCTGCTGCTTTAATTTCTCCAGAATCGTTTTGGCAGATCCTAGTTCTTCAAGCACATCAAGTGTTTCGAGTTCTTTCATTATCAAATCCTTCTCCAACTTTGCAGCTTGTTCCTCTATTTTCTTTATGTCAAAGTCTTCGATACTGTTCTGCTAATATAAATCTTCAAACATCAGAGAGTGAATTACAAAGGGGGAACTTCCCTTCATAATAGAATAAAAAATAATTAAAAAAGAGAGATGAAAAACTTACATAAGCCTCACCAAGCTTGTAAAGCGGCAACCAAGGCCCGCTTCCACCAAACCGGGTAACCGCTTCTTTAACAGACTCAAACGGCATTGAAGTATCCACTTCAGCTCTCGAGCTTATTCTTCTTATTCCATTACCCGACCCGGTTCCATCCATCTCGTCTGATTCCAACGAATCCTCCATCATCATCGTCTTCTCCATAACATTCGCATGAAAGGTTCATCATAAATGCAGCCATTTTATTCAAGTACAGAGAGTGTGTGTGATGATTGATTCGCGGGGCCGAGTTATGGACTCGGTTGGAAAAGGGGGAGCGAGTTAGAGAATCGGGTCCATGCAAAAGGGGAAAGGGGAAAAGACGGAAGCGGAAAGCGGTTGGGAAGGGAAATGGATGTTTTGCTTTTCGTGGTTGTTGTTTGGTGGGTGAAAGAAAAAGTTAAAAAAGTTGTTGGGGGTGTTATGGAATGTGGCCAATGGGAATTAGACACGTCATTGGGTTTTGGAGGAAGTGAAGGTGAACTTGCTTGTCGTGTATGTGTGATTGGCTGGATAACTAGACTTGGAGCGTGATTTACGGGTTTGGGAAATTTTATTGTTCTTTCATTTTAATGTGGAGAAACGACAACGTATTGCATTTAGAGGCCTAATACATTTTTTAGTTCTATTAGATTAACATTTTTTTTTAATGCACACAAATAAAAATTTAAATAATATTTTTTTATTTAATGTCAATATTAACTAGAAATTATGTAGAAAATTAATAATATGAAGTTAAGTGAAAATAATAATTTTAATAGAAATTATTGTATAAGTTACACATTAAAATAAGGATAAAATTGATAAAAAAAATACAAGCTACACCAAATCAGTATATTTTGTTTTATATATGTTATAAATGATTTTTGTTTATGGAATTTAAATTGGTGAAATTACAGTGTTCAAATTTTTTAAAGGAGTGAAGTAGATTTTTTTAATGAAATATAGATGTTTTTCTATAAAGTAAGATACATTTGTATAAATTTATAAATGAGATTATAAAATAAAGGTTTAGGTGCGGTTTATTTAAATTATTGATCCTATTTATTATAAAATCAATTATTCTAATCTCTTAATTTTGATGACATTAATTTTAATTAATTGAGAAGATGATTAGAATATTTTATTTTTTAATTAATATAATTTTAACTAAATTATGTCAATTTCATCTTGTGGATGGTTGGTTTGAATTAGGGGTGTTCATGGGTGCGGGTCGACCCGCAAACCCGCCTACCCAAACCGAACCAACCCACTAATTACCCGGACCCATTCATTTACGGGTATACCCGACCCAACCCGTAACAACCCGTATAGATTTGGTTCGGGTATTGGGTTTTAGTTTCTAAACTCATGAACCCGTTGACCCAACCTGTTGACGTGGCATAATTAATTATTATTATTATTATATTATTATTTATAAATTTTAAAGTTGCTATAACTTTGTAAATTGTAACGTACACAAAGATCTTTTGCACTTTCCTTCCAGTTTCCAATCACACATTAAATTATTATTATTATTATAATTAAACATTATTATTAATATTAATCATGCTTGCTTGACTTATGCACTTCTAGTTTACATTTTACTGCTTTTTTATTGTTTTAATGAATCTTTATTAACTAATAATAATTAAGTATATATTAGAAACTTACTAAACTAAAGACAATACCATTTAACCTAACCCTATTTTTTTACTACGGCAAATCTCAAACGTCACCACTCCTCTTTCTCTCACGATTTTTTTTTCATTTTACTCTCTCACATTCCAATTCCATCTTGCTTTCGAAAATCCACAGTCTATACTTTGACTCTCTCATAGTTTCGTCTCCATATTGAATAAGGTTTTATACTTTTTATAGTTCTACAATATATTTATTTCAATGCAATATATTGTTTTTACAGTATGTACTTCAATAGTTTTATATCAATGCAAAATATGATGATAGGTTCAATGTAATGTACTATTTTGTTTCATATGATGCAAAGTACTATTTTGTTTCATATGATGAAAATATATTTTGATGCAAAGTCCTGTTCTGTTTCATATTATTAATTTAAATATATTTTGTTTAATGTTGTTTTAATAATAATTTATATTAAAAATTGTTTTTTATAGAAAATGGAAGTGGAACAATCACAAATTGTCAGTGAAGATGTTGCTCATCCACTTGAACAAGAGCAAGAAGTTCAACAAATACAAGGAGAAGGGTTGTCATCATTGCCACCAAGTGCACTAATAGAGATAAGCAAAAGAAAACCCTCTAGAAAACCTTCTACAGTTTGGAAAGATTTTAAAAGGGTTAATGATAAGGCTATATGTAAGTATTGTGGGAAACAATATGCTGCAAATAGTGGTAGTCATGGCACTACTAACATGCATAAACATTTGAAAGTGTGCCTGAAAAATCCAAATAGGGTAGTTGATAAGTGTAATACCCCAAATTTTACCCTTACATTTAGTCAGGCATTTCGCATATCATCTCCTATGAACATTTGCTAACCACTAACAAGTCATGGAGGTGTCTGTTTTGCAGATTTGGTCCCAGGGGTATTTTGGTCATTTTACACAAGTTCTACCAGTTCTCTGAAAACGGGCTGTTTTTACGTTCTGAGGCATTTATTTGCCAATTAGGTCAAGGTGCCGGTATGTTTTGTCAGAAATATGATTGGATTAGGGATCGCGTCTTATATGATGTGGAAACATTTCTAAAGCAGTTTTGTTTTCTCTTAATAAGATGAAGTTGGTTTGAAAAAGAAGTGGGCACTGTTATGGTTATTTTGAGAAGTGATGTGATCAACGAGGTTTTTAATGTGAATTTGTTTGGATATAATCATATGGCGGGATATCATTTATAAAAGGCCAAGGAGAGGTTAAGTTTTAATAGCTGTGAAGCTTTTATTCATGAATATTCATAAACTACAAATCAAGTTGAATTTAAATAATTTATGGATGGTTATTCATGGATATTTAAATTCATAATTGAGAAAATATAAATGAATATTTAATGGATTTTATTTCATAAACATCTAGAATTACAAGATGAAATGGAAGTAATTTTTTGGATTTTATTCATGATGATCTTTCATTTACAAAAGGATTATACATTTACAATGGGTATCTACTCTAGGTCCTAAAGTCCTAAAAAGAGAAAAAACTACAAGTTTCTTCATTGGTCCTCCCTTGAGTTCTTCACGCAACTCTTGATCACCTGCACATCAAAGCAAAAACAAACCACAGGAAAAGAGGTTAGAAGATTGTTTGACACTCTCAGAACATTGTCATCATCGAGTGTCGGGAGGGTACGACTAAAGCCGCATCCTACTCCCGTTACCAATCTGAGCCACCGGCGTCAGATCAGGTAGTTATTGTTCTTATCGTAAGGGACATCCGAGAGATAGAGAAAATAAAAGAAGTGGGGCTGATTCGTTTTGCCGCGATTGGATTTCCAGACTGATACGAGAATAAGGCAACATAGGCAAGTTTTGACTCAGACCCGGATGCCGGCAGGTCTGAGTCACCTTGATTTCAAAACTTCCAACATCTGAAAAAACATAAGCATCATCAGAACTCAAAGCATAAAACAAAACTAGGAAAGGGTTCGCACCAATACAGGTAGGAATAGCCACCAAAAGAAACAAATCTGTACCAAACAGAATGAAAATCCAGTCCACAGCAGAACAAGAAAAACCAAAATATGGTATCAAGCTGCATCAGTTCAAACAGAACAGAGAAATGAGACACGAAACAAGCTACGGACAAGGTATTAAAAAAGGTCTCAGCAGCATCAGTAAAAGCCATCAAACTTGGTTCAAGATCAAAACAGATAAATTATAATGTTAGCAGCAGCTCTGAGGTCGAACAAGTAAGAAAAGCCCATCAAACCAAATCAGAGCTAAAACTGTATCAAGCGATTAGTGTCTCAACACAAACTATCGCTCATCAGAAAAGTACACCAGCAACATCAACATCTGCAAAGCCATATCAAGAGGTTTCAGTATCAAACATCATAGAAAAAAACAGACGTTTGCAAGCTAAGAATCATCAGCAGTTGGAACAATTCAAAGAGAATAAACGGTAAACCCCACGCGAAGATCCTCAGAAAGCAATCGCAGCATCATCGAAGAATACAAGCGTCGAGGGCTCAGATAAACATCATTGCCGTATGCCTTCCTCGTCCATCCCAACTCAACCCAAGTCGTAGCATCAACCCTCTGTGAAAGAAGAAGAGGAAAAGGATCTGAGCTGCATCAAAAAGCAAACCATATCAGAAATAGAGAGATGTCGATTTGATAATGAATCCCAAAACAGATCAAAGCGAATCAGTTCAGACTACTAAAATTGAATCAAATCGAAAACGCACCAGCATAGTCCAGATTGAATTCAAGTAGAACAAATGAACTAATCCAGATATCAATCAAATCAAATAAATTCAGAAGCAATCCAAATGATCAAACAAAGCCGAAGCTGGAAATGGAAAGTTTCAAGTCAAATGCATCAGGGAATATCTCCATTGGAACCAATCTGAATCAATGTGAGACAATCTGAATCAATCAGACAAGCCAATAAAGCAAGTCAGCCAAAAACGAATCAGTAGAGAGCAGTTAAACAAATTAACGAAATCCCAATCGTATCAGAAAGAACTCAATCTGAAAACCAAATGATCAAATCAAATCGAATCCCCATTTGCGTGTAACCTGAATCAATCAAACAAATCAGTTCAGTTCTGGAGATAGAAATCTTTGAACCGAATCAGAATATCAGCTAGGAATCGATTAAACCCTAAAAAAGGGGAAACAGAGTTCAATCCGCATCCAATCGCAATCAATATCTGAGGAAATCACAACAAAATCAAATAATATCAAATCGAATCTCAGAAGTATTGCAAATCCAAGGCCCAGAAGTTAGTTATAAAAGGGATGTACAACCTGATGAAAAGGGGGGAGCCGTGAAAGAGAGAAATCGCGTACGAACCCTAACTGGAGGGCCAAGAAAAATCACCGAACGAGAAACCCTAACGACCGCGACATCAGAAGAAGAAGAAGAAGTTTTCCACCAAAGTCATCACACGAAGGACCGCCGGCGCCGTTTAACCAAACGACGAGCAATCAATCGCCTCAGCCTCAGAATCTCTTCATCATCGGCCGTTTTCGCTTTAAATGTAAG